GGGGGTGGGGGGGGGGGGGGGGGGGGTCCGGTGGGTCTGACAGTGGCCTCATGCAGGGATACCTGGAGGAGCTGGTGCGGCTGCGGGAGTCGCAGCTGAAGGACCTGGAGGCGCAGAACAAGCGGCTGAAGCTGCGCCTGGAGGAGGTGGTGGTGCAGAACCAGCTGGAGAAGAGGGAGCTGGAGGGCATCATCCTGGAGCTGCAAGAGCAGCTGTGAGTGGGGAGATGCCGCTGCTGCTGGGCCTGGCGGGGTGCGGTGGGTGGGGGTCCCTGGTGCCTGGGTGCCCCATGGGCTCTGGGTGGGTGATGGGTCCTCAGTGCCCCACCGACCCTGAGGGGCAGGGTGAGTGGTGGTCCCCGGCACCCCATACGCCCTGTGGGGTGTGATGGGTGGTGGGTTCCCAGTGCCTTGGGTGCCCCATATGCCCTGTGGGACGTGGAGGGTCCCCAGTGTCCCGTATGTCCTGTGGGACGTGGTGGGTCCCCCATGCCCCATACGTCCCGTGGGCCGCGTCGGCCGGCAGGTCCCCGGCACTCGCGGCTGTGCCGGGTGCTGAGCACCCGCCTTTGCCACAGGACGGGACTGATCCCCTGCGAGAACCCGCAGCTGGCCCAGCTCTCCAAGGAGATGGTGACACCCCTGGTGAACCAGTGGCCCTCGCTGGGGACCCTCAACGGCAACGAGAGTGGCTCGGACAGCAAGCTCTACAGGAGGTAACCCCCCCAGTGGGGGCAGAGCCGCCCTGACCTGCACCCAGCACCCTATCCCGCCCCGAGGGGGGTCTGCCCCGGGCAGGGGATGGGGAGAAGGGCTGGCCCTGGCTGGCAGGTCTGTCCTGGCCCCGGGGGCAGCGGCGTGGGGGGGCTCAGCGCCGTCCCTCCGCAGGCACAGCTTCATGAGCACCGACCAGCTCTCGGCCGAGAACAGCCTCAGCTCCGACTCCCAGCGCCTGGGCGAGGGCAAGCGCGAAGGCGAGCCCTGGGGCCCCTTGGGTAAGACCCCCCCCACTGTAGGGTGCCCCACAAGGCTCAGCATGTCCCCCAACACGCACCCATGCATCTGGACTCCCCCTTCCCCCCTCCAGCAGCCCCCTCCTCATGCCGGGGAAACTGTCCCAACAGTGCAAGGACACCCAGGTCCCTCCCGGAGAGGGTGGCCCCCCCCCCCCCCCCCCCCCCCCCCGCGGCAGGGCTGGGGTGCGAGGCTGCAGCCCCCCGCGACATCGGCGTCCCGCTCTGTGCCCGCAGGGAAGGACCCCACGCCCTCCATGCTGGGGCTCTGCGGCTCCCTGGCCTCCCTGCCCAGCTGCAAGTCCCTGGCCAGTCTCAAATCCAACGAGTGCCTGGTGAGCGACAGCACCGAAGCCAGCCCGACCCGCAGCCCCAGCTGAGACCCCCGGCCCCCTCGCCGTCCCACGGCCCAGCTGCCCGGTCCAGCATCATGGCAGAGGACTGACCTCGTCCCCCCCCCAGTTCACCACCCCGGGACCGACGAGGGACTCACCGAACCCACCAGGGAAGCTGGAGATGGGCATCCCCCTCCCCATCTTGACACCCCACTTCGGCTGCGCCTCGGACCCCCAGCCTGGTCCCTGGCTGGAGACATGGACCCGTTGGGATGGGGGATGCCAGACTGGGACCCATGCGAGCTGGGGATGGGGGGGGCAGGGGGGGAACGAACTGTGCCATGGAGGGACACTGGGAATGAGCGCTGCTGGGGAGCAAGGGAGGGGGGGTCAGGGCCAAAACCCCTCGGGGACAAAGGTCCCAGCACAGCCCCAGTGTCCATCCTGCTTGGCCCAGGGGCACCACTCTTCCCTTGGGCGCCCACCCGGGCTTTGCCTGCCCTCTAGTGCCCAGCCCCCCCCCAGCCCCCCCCCCCAACTTCGCACCCAGGCGCTGCAGGGGGGCTGGCCTGTCCCTCGCTTTGGGGACCAGCTGTCCCTCCTTGCAGAGGCATCCCTGCGACAGGGATAGCCACCTC